TGTGTTGATGCTGAAAAGTATAATTAAAACTCTTAACAAATCGCTAATCGAATCGAGAAATTGCAGAACCTGGTAATTTCGAAAACTGCAGAATTTTCGCATTTATTGACTCAATAATACAAATACAGCTGCAAATATAAAAACGAGCTAAAATTCACCTTATCATACGATGATAAACCAAATGTGACATTATTCGTAAATAATGATATCATAAGACAAAGATGTTTAGCTACTTAACTTACACACGCAATTTCGGATACGTAAGTTACTGGGTGTTAAGTAAAATGCACAAACGCCACAAATATTCGAGCACCACTGATATTTCCTTATCGTGCACTTGCAAACAATGTTTTGAACTTATGTGTACTAACTTTGTAGATAATCCAAAAACCGATCTAGTAAGTGTCCGGTTAAGCGTAGCGTAGAGTTCTTTTACTCTTTCATTTGTTTTTAGTGTCATAATATCTGAACAGTTTTGCCATTTTACTATGTATCATAGAGCGATATTTATAAAAATACAAATGCTCAAAAATTTGTCCTGCTTGCTGCTGAATGCTAGAAAAATTACCTGTCGTCAATAGATGGCGCTAGTCTTTAATTCGATATTTTTACTTTATTTTATTATCATATGTAGGCCTCTAATAAGTCAAGCCTTGTATTGGCATTAGACATACATTATTATTAGGGGCATGTTAAAAACACGTACGTCATAAGCAATATTTACTTACGAAATCTACTGGCCAACTGGAAATTTTTTTGTAATACTGTTTTTATGCTAATAAATGTTCGGAACTAGTATTTGTTTTTGTGATCCAAATCTCAAATCAAAATATTGAATTCTATTTTGTCAATTTCACTTGACTGGTACTTTCCTGTTAATATCTATTACATGACTAAAACCTGCCAATTTCCATGAATTACTTGTATTTATTCAAGTCGTGTCATGTATTGAGATTTAAGAAATACGATTTATTTATTCTGATCAGGCAAGGAAGTTACCATACGTCAATACGACTAATGGAGACACGTTCAAACTATTCTTTATAGTAGGTGTCCTTAACTTTACGACATAATCGATATATAACAATTTATGTAACTACTATGTTTTTTTAATGTTTTCGGCAGCCCTGCTAGTCATTCTCTTGTAGTATTATTCTAATACATAAAATTTCGCTTCTGTTTCATTGACTTTGACTGCTTTGACTGTTATTAAACTATTATCATTATTTTCTTCATACAAAATTAAACTAATATATCTTTTAATCGTAAACGGTTGTTCAGTATTTGATAACTCCTGTTTTATGTAGTTTAATATTCTGTAATTATTTTAAAGTTAACACAAATCTAAATGATTCAATAATTGTTCATTATTTACTGATATCAAATGATTAGGCTTACGCGTGATTTGTGATATTTTATTTAGCTTTGAAGTTGTCTCCTGCAAACTAATATTTTATTTCATTGGGGCAATGTTTAAATACAAATCTATAAATTAACTTTTAAACATTCACCAGTCCGTATTTACAGCTATTTCGTTTAATAAAAAAAAAATCAAATAGAAATCTGTCGGTTCTAAAATGATTTTAAATGTATGTTTACGTTTTTTTCTTTGCTATATTCAAAGCATATTTCTGGACCGTTCAAATAGAAACAGAAAACACTGTTTACACTGCAAGCATTTTTATCAACAACTATTCAACGGTCAAATGACCTATGACTATGTCCAAAACGCGTTTTATCTGTAATAACGATAAGATTTCGGATGAGTTATCAGTTTCGATATTATGTTTATGAAGCAACGTTCACAGTCAGTTACGACACGTATTATTATCAACTTGAGCTAAATATAGTATTTATCTTAATTAATTTATCTAAACGCTAGTTCGAGAAGTCTCGGAGCTAAACCAATCATAGGGAACCTTACTAACTGTTCAAAATGTATTTGGTGACATGTTTCAAATAGCTTATTTGACACGAATGAATTTGTCTATTTGCTTAATGGGAAATTAATTGACCTAAAAGTTAATGTTGAATTTATTTTAGTCGGGCACATAGGTTTGAGGTGTCTTGGGTGTACATTGTGCATGTCGTTTGTCTTAGTTATTAAATTTGTGACGAATTTGTGAATGAGACGAAACTTAGTGTGATCATTATGTGTATACCGGGAATAGAAAATTTTTATGAAGAAGCTAAACCACGTCAATTGCATTCGATTTCGAAGAGGTTGGTATTTCTACTTATTACGTCATGAGATGACCATGAGTCTATATTTCTCTCTCTATTTATTGGATTCGATTAATATTGTGTTGCGGATACTAATATATTTATTTATAATATTAAAGCACTGAATAGAATTGCATTATTTATATAACTGGGCTTCATATGTTTTGTCAAAACGAAAACTTGTAAATCATGTAAGTATGATAGTGTGTGTTTTTCAGTGCGTATGTTTTATTTAAATAATAAATTTTTAACTTGTACCGTACCTATTTTATATATATATATATATAAATTCTATTTTGTATATGTAAACCAACGTAATGAAACAAAAATAATACGAGGAATAAATAGTGGTTACGTCGATTGCGATTTTTTTTTTAAATTATAATTTTCCATCCGTATGGAAGGTATAGTAAATACAATGCGACCATTTTAAGTTGCAAACATACTGTACTTGTGTCTCTGTCATTTGATTTTGGAAAAAAAATACCTCCTTAATAAACTTTTACATTGCTATTAATAAACTGACAAGCGAAAAATCAGGGTTACTTACAAAATCTTTTGTTGATAAAAGATAATATCACTCCAGTAATTTAAATAAATACTTTTATTCGTAGTGAGTATTCGAAGTAATTCTAAATGATCCCGAACTTTAGCTCATCAGTTCAGTTATAAGGTATAATTAAAAGTAATAAACGAATCAACTATCTATATATATCGTGCAATGTATCAAGTGTATTTTAAAAAAGCACAAGTCGTAAAATTTCGTTTGTTGGAAGGAACTGGAATGGAAAGTTTTTGCTTTTACATAGACGATGATTTGTTCTGTATTTTGTTTAATCGGTTTTAAACTACTTTACTTACTATAATTTTTAATAGGTAGTAGGTTTTGTAAGTTGTTCTATTAAACACAATACTGTCGTAACAACATATTTTATTGATTAACTACCTAATGTATATTGTAATCATATAACAATTATTAATTATTAATAGTAGCAACATTCTTACATACCTGTTATTTAAAGTAACAAAGCGATTGAATATGGGGTTAACAACGGAAGGGAAAAAATGCGTAGTTGTTCTTTGTTGTGCAAATCTGATGCAAAATCAAGCGTTTTTCGAAAAATGCGTTAGTTAGTTTAGTGAAAAAAAAAAGGAATTATAGGAAAAAACCGAATTGATAGATTGGACTCTCTTTTATCACACGCGTCTTTAAAAAAAAACAATAAGCACCTAAAAAATAAGTCATCCGTCTGTCATTCAGTATGACGACCAGCTATAAAAAGTGGCCTGCATCAAAAGAGTCTGTAACAGTATTAAACAAATCATCTGTCGAGTATGCAACGTTGAATATTATATTTTATCAGTTCGGAAGTTCCGTGGCCGACAAGACACAATGTATCTTCTGTCATCTACCCTAACAGGGCGTAATGACTACGTTAATTAAAGTTACAAACCATTTTATGGTATACCAGTATCTGATGACAAATCGGGAAATTTTAATTTGTAGAAGGCAACATTGGGGAAAGAGGATAACATATTCTTGATATTTATAACATTTTTAATATAATAAACACTTAATAATAAATGCTATGGGGATAACATTGAAGATACTCCTGAGTGAATTCTGATCTCGGCAAATTTTGACATAATACACGTACGAATTAAGATGAGACCTGATGGCCTACTTTATTTCTACGAAAACGTAATTTCATCAATTTTCAAAATGCTAATACGACTCTAATGAAACGCAATTTCCAATAATTTAAAATGGAACGAAGGTAGGACCATGTCACTGCCTCTAATGCACCGATAATCTTCACGAATATAATTTGAACAAAATTATAAGAACGATTTAAAATTTCCCGAATTTTCATTCGAAGACAAATAGAATAGGGTCGCAGGTGTCCATTTACGTGGGACATAATATAGTGCACAAATATACGCTTTTACACTCTATATTAACCAATATCTAATATTTTGATTGCACAGTACCCAACCTGACAAAAACCCTATAATATTTTACCTGATATGGAATCTAACTCGAATAAATAAAACAAGCTTTACTTTATGTATTTGTTTATTGCTAATTTGTACTTATACTGCAACTGTCTGTTACGCTTACATATCTAAATCAAAACCGCTTTAATTTATTTAATTTTTTTCACTATTTCTTGTTTTCCTCAGCGTAGAATAATGCCTTCATATTTTGTCCTTCACTAATAAATCATTACGACGACACATAAACAACTATTTACTTATTGATTCTTTAGAAAAAATGAGTATCAAGACTAAGTCATTTAGACCGGTCGGTACACTTTAAAATATAAAAAAAATCGTTGATCTTCATCTTGTCCAATTTTGCTATAAACATTAAAAATAATATTTCTCGTTTGAGATGTCCATTGTGTTTTAGGCAATTTCACAAAATAAATTATTATTTTCGTGTTTTTGTTTGTGCGATCATATTCTGGTACACTTATGTCTAAATCGGGAAGTCTAGTGCAGTAATTAACAATTATTCTAATGTAATATGATTATGTATCGATATAATATTATTATTCGCAAGTGAAACGACGAAATGCTGATGCGATAGCGATTATAAAAAAGTTTAAAATTTTTATTTTGTCATACCCACGCTAATTTAATTAGCATTTTTCTTTTAAATCTAACTTTTGTTTTACCAAAGTCCTCTAAACAGTCAATAGTGGTCTAAAACTTGTTGTTTATACCATACTTTCATAAAAGAGTTGAGAAATGAACAACTGCATCTTTTCCAGGAATAATGAGAAGAGGAAGGAGAAATCTCGTGTGGCTGCCCGATGCAGGCGCACAAAAGAGATGCAGATATTCACCGAGCTAACGGCCGCCCTCCCTGCGAGGAAGGAAGAAGTGGAGCAACTGGACAAAGCCTCCGTGATGCGTCTCGCTATATCTTACTTGCGCGTGCGCGACGTCGTATCCAAACGTAAGTATTAAGGTCATGTAAATTTTCATACAATGTCAAGGATATAATTCATTAAAGATTGGCGATAGGATTGAAAACAGTTTATTTAGTGCTTATATTGCTACACACGTATCAATATTACAATTCAGTTGTGGATTTATTTTGTACATTTTCCTCAAAATTTGCAAACCAATAAACAGTGCAATAAACGCCACTGTAGAATTTGAATGTAAAACATTAACGATGTCAACCGTTATCAATTTCAAACCGGTTTCTTCGAATACTCATTAAATAGAACAATCTTAAAGTGCACTTTCAATAAATTATTTTTACGAGTATTTTTTATGATAAAATACTGTCAGCAACACAAAAGATGTTACAAACATGTACTGCATGGTCCTATGTATTTTTAGAGCTAATTTACTTACCAGCAATGGAAAATTATGTTGGTGAATTAGTTACTAAATAATAATAAATGTATATTCTACGGTGATGTTGGGCATTAATAAAAGTAGATAGCACTACATAATTCAAATATTCAACAAAACAACTAATAGTTTTGAATAATATAGTTCTGTGTGGAAAGTGTCGATAGGTTTCCATTATTTTAACATAGCTTTAGTAGCATCTATTGTTATTCCTGAATTTTAAAGCTTATGCATTCAATGTCAGAATCAAACGAAAATATTTGTTATTTTCCTGTTACTTAGCACTGATAGTACGATATCAATTACATATTATGCATTATTATCATTCCCTTAATCCCGTTAGAGATGAGCAGAGCTTGTAATATGTCGGAGCCAACTAATTAAAATACCTAATCATTAAATTTGTTGGCAAATATGGCACCATTCGATTACACGACTATTTTTCTAGTTAAATAATTATGATATTTAAAACATTAAATATGATAGCTGATTTATAACTGCTTCATCGATTGTTTCGCTTTGTTTACATAATTGCCATTTTGTTGCGTCAACAAACTATGTAGCAATTTGTAGAGATTGAAAATTTTGAAAAAAATAGAAAATATTTTTAAAATTCTACAATATTCACGGGATCACAAATGACAACAGGAAAAGAGTGAACAGTGAAAAAAAAATTAAATAATAAATAAATTTAAAAACCCTCCAATACGCATTGGGCCAGCGTGGAGGGTCATGGCCCATACTCCTTAACCATCCATATGGAAGACCTAAGCCCCTGCAGTGGGGACGTAAAAGGGCTGATGATGAAATTAAAAAAAAATAAACAACGATATTTTGAATACTTTTGTGATGATGGATTATCTGATCAATTATGTCATCGAATAATTTTTTATACATTCTGGTCAACGATCCACAAAAGAGATTTTATTTGTTATCTTGTAAATTATACATTAACTAACTTAACTCATAATAGCAACCTAACTCGCGTAAACATCCTCTTTAAATTCAACAGTCAAACACTTATAACAAGTTTTGTTTCCTTGTTATTATAAAGGACCTATAATTATTTATTTATTTGTAACAAGACCTTAGCTGAGTAATTGTAGTATTGCTACTTTTCCATAAAAAATAAATAATAATAAATCAGTAACTATCTGTCAGTCTTTAATAAGCAAAAACTTTATCAGAATTATTTAATGCTATTAAATAAGTGTGGCCGGCAAAATGGAACTGAACCCGGATGTTAGATTAGTTTGCTCGCCTTTCATATACGCCCGCAAATATATGAAAATTTAATCAGAAATGATAATTAAACATTTTCTTATTTACTGTTTGTAGAGTGAGATAAAGAGTTGAAAGGCATCTATAATATATATAAGTAGGTAGGCAAGATAATTATTGACCTCGCAATACTTACCATTATAGATAGCATAAAAGATACATTAATTGATGTGGATTTCTATGTACCACACCACGTCGGTGGATAACACCTTGAACCCGTCTATTAACCCATTGTTTCCATAGCCTTGATTGCACCAACAGTAATTAGTTTTTTTTTCTCTATATGAACGAAATTGAGATGTCCTATGTGTATGTGTCTATATGATGTAATGTAAAGGTCCTATAGAGGGAGAAAAGTCTTAGGTATCTTTTTCAGGCGCATTGCTCTGTTATCATTTGTAGGGGGTCATTTCTAATCATGAAAATTCTTTAACCTACGGGAAGCTACATTATAATAATATTACTCATCAAGCACCGTATAATCATAGCTAATTTTTATACTTTGATATGATAGTGACATCGGCTATAACATACGCGAGCGAAGTCGTGCAGCCCAGCTAGTGTAAAATATGGTTATACAAAAACAATTATGCGTAAAACAAAAGCGTATATTTCAAAGTTTGCATAATCAAATGACCAAACATGATACTATTGTTGGTACTTTCGAAAAGTCACACCATTTTGATTTTATTAAGTACTTCCGCTTTACAATATTATAAAATCGGACCGAGGGCAAACCAACCTTGTGCATAAAAGTTTATATTTCATTCTTGCCGCAAGCTTGCGATGAGATCGTAATCATTTATCATTTTATTACTAATGTTTTTAAAAACATTAGATTAAAGATTCCTTTGTTTACAGAGATGTAACACTACCTATTACAGGTTCGAACCAGAATTATATAACCGTTAAATTTTTTTTAAGTACAGTCAATTGCACTTCAGAATATATAAAACTGTCAAATTTCCCCACTTGATTTTAAACATTTATAAATAAAAAACAAGTAGAGGTGAAAATCCATTGCAGAAATTTGACATATTGTAGTAACCTGACGTGCAGCTGTGCTGTGCATATCCTTTCAACATCCTGATATGGTATTGTGTTGATACAATACGGAGACTGAGATGCGTGCGTATAGAGTAGTCATAATTTATGTATATTCGACTGAAAAAAATCCATTTAACCATAAAACTTGACCACAAGTTTCCGTTTTAACTTGGCACGCGTCATATCATCCGACTTCGGATCTGAATATAAATCAAACCACATTGCCGTCACAGTCTGGATCGATGACATAATAAAACGTTTAATTGTGATTCTTTTTGGTATATTGTTTACGTCTACCTTTGGAACCGGGCGCCATTTGGGAAGAGTTAACAATTTTACCGTATTCTATTTCTGCTTACCGAGCAAAATATCCAGTGTTCAGATATAGATAGATAAAAAATCCACCATTAGATAGATAAGAAGCCCACCATAGAATGACAAACGCTTAGTCTGACCTTAAATTGTTAAGGCTCGTGTTTATTTTTCATCAGAACAGTCAAACCCCTTACAGGCAATACTTTGCTTTTGATAATTATTACAATGCCTATCTTCTTTTCTTAATTATTAACAAAAAATTTATCGCGTAAATTAATCTATAAGCATACACTTTAATACTGTGAATAAACAGATAAATAATATCCATAATAAAACAGTAAACAGAAGCAAGGCTAATGTCTTATTAAAATGTACATCGTTGAGTATTCAAGGTTTCAGTGTAGTCCGTCCGGGACAATGTCTGAATTTAGAGTACTAAGGATAAGGGTGGATTAATTCGTCATATATTATTATCTATAGAAACTATTACTACACGAGTGATGTAGTTTGGCAACTAGATAATCAGAGTACGATTTTCAGTTACTTAAATCAGTTTTGAAAACAAATCTAAGGTTATGCCGAATATTATAAAATTTATCATGTCATTATTATTATGCTTATACACAACTTTACGGTAAAAAAAGGTTTATTATCAAATGACACAAACTTACGTATTGAATATTTAGTTTTTTTTATTTTTTATTTCGTCAGTAACATCTCTCTATACATTCTTTCAGTGCCTATCGATGCGGCGGAGCAACAGACACCCAACCCTAAAGGATTGGAGGAGGTGTCTTCCGAGCTGTCCTACATGAAAGCCTTAGATGGTTTCGTATTGGTTATCTCGCAGCAAGGGGACATCGTATATTGCAGTGAGAACATTTCTGACCACCTTGGCGTCTCTCAGGTAATTACCACTCCAAGTTCTAGTTTTTATTTGTGACAATAGTGGTAGATTGGATACTAAACTACTAATCATATTATATCGGTGAGTTAATAAGCTTGTTAAAAATTTAAATTTGAAATAATTCTTTCGAATTTTTGACCCAGAAATGACATTCTTATTTGCCGCCTGATTTTATCTAGACTACAGATCACGAGATGTTTCTGGGTCAATGATCTGAAGGTGATCTATTTTAGTTGGCGACAAAAACACTAGCGGAAAATTGCAAAGAATCTTCAGTCTCGTGAGCATCGCTAATTCTAACTCACGGAAAGACCTATCGTGTTGCGAGGTGATGTTTATTGATCTCTAGCAACCTAGTCCAGGTGCACTTAGTAAGCTCTCATATATGATATAGCATGTTTTTCACCGATTCTTATTATATTGTTTATCGAATTTTATTTATTCAAGGGATTTTGTTTAAGCTGCTTGGTCATTTACATTAGAATGATACTTCTACGAGATCGCTACCGTGTATATTGTTTTTATTGAGTTCTGATATTTCGGCGCTTTCCTCTTACGAATACGGAAAACCGTGCTTATCTGTAGATTATAAAACTAATGAAATAGTTTACTGAACCATTTTGTGGTCTTTAGAAAATATCTTTATTCTGTCTGTACATTCGAAACAAGATCGACTTCAAGGTAATGAAATATTTGGATAATTTTTTAAGATAGGTATCTCCCATAATTTAAGTTTAGCTATCATAAGCTAAGAAAAACGTAACATTTTATGACTTTATTTGGATAGCGCACCATGCATGATCTTGTTTTGCAAAGTCTACTAATGAGTCACGGTAAAGTCTTATTTTAGCTGCTTTAAGTGATAATCAGATAACATTATATGACAAAACATGATTCTGTACAAATGTTTTTAGAGAAAGTTACCACGCTGATGAGGGAGTGTAGCAGAATATACTTTTTCCTTATAACCAATAATATTCGAAAAAACTAGACATATACATACGCATCTTTATTGTTACTAACGACTAGCACACGTTAATTATTATAGTACCGCTTGTTTACAACGTGCTCGGCATTTATTGGACTCCTGTACAAACATCTAGGTCAGGTCTTGCCTGTCGGGAATGTATTTTAAATACATACCCGTAGATACTATAATCCTCTGATTTTATGTGCAATTAATAGTTTCACATAGCATCAGTCGGCCGGTTGACGCCTCTGGGTGATAAGTTTTCTTTAGACCAGACGTTGAAAGTTAATTCTATCCTTCTATCTATTTCTATTTTTCGTTTTTTTTTCGAAAATACTTTTTGATTTATTAGAAACTGTAAATTTAACCTATTTTGTTCTGGTTGTTTCTAATTAGATTGTGGTTTTTTTAACACAAACATAAACCAGTTTGAATGGTGGATCGAACATTAATTATATTCATAAAGCGCTATATCCATAAAATTGTATATTTTATATATTTTAATACCAGGAGGACTTTAAAACTCGTCTATAATTCTTGTTAATAGCGTAAACAAACAATGAACCGTGTAGTTTCGTACGAATTGAGGGCAACAGTTTAAATGTGTTAGCCGAGGAGTTTAGTGATACACTTATTTTTGAAGCGTTGCCTTGACGATGATTGGTCCTTCAACTTGTTCTTTAAATGAGGTCATTGTACAAAGAATAAACATAATCATCATACATTAATTATTTGTATTTAGGGCATTTTGTATGAATACATCTTACAGTCCAACTACAAGTGAATTCTTTTTTCTTTCCCTTACAGGTATATCTTTAACTTTATCATTGCTTTTCTGACATTAAAATATGTAAGCTAGCGCAGCATAGACGACAGAACAGAACAGTTGGATATGTATCGATAAAGTACACTATTAACCATACGTACTGATTTTTCAGATGGAGATCATGGGTCAGAGCGTGTTCGAGTTCAGTCATCCGTGTGACCACGAGGAGGTCCGCGAAGCTCTTCGCTCCAGCAACGGGAGACGCGAACTGCTACTCCGTCTGAAGTGCACCCTCACTAGTAAAGGCAGAAATGTACATCTTAAGTCTGCTTCCTATAAGGTGACTCATTATATAATGACTAGTTAATTAGATTTTAGAGTGCTGTACCTATTGTGTATTGTTAGGTAATGCTTTATGGACCGTAACCACCAGAATAGAATGCGGATGGCATATCCACTAAACGCCCCCGCGCATCCTCCTTTTTTTAGAGGGAAGAGCCTAGAATCCAGCATGGAGTGCTCCACACCCAGTCCTCATTCAGGCCAAAGGCCAACCTCATCCCTCACTCACAATCTAAAAAAGACAATCAATATAAATATGACACCCCATCATTAGTTTTAGATTTCATATATTCACTTGAAATTAATGCAAGAACAACACATATCTTGGCAAACTATTGCGGTAAACTCTCATTACAAAACTAATTGAGCTTGGGCGTGGTGTGGTAAAAGGAATATCGAATGTATTATAAATAATTTACATAAGTTTGCGACTAAAGAATTAGCACAGAAAGCAGTATCACGGAATGGAGACCATTTCCTTTCGTGTCTACAGTAGTCCTAACGCAGTAAAAAAAAGTGGATAAATGTGTATTAGTCAACGCGCAGTATAATCCATTGCCATGCGTAGTTTCAAAGGGGCTTAATTAAATGAAAACAAGTTTTATGGTATTTGTATCAAATTGTCCTCTTTACTCCTAAAAGTAGGTGCATATTATTTACCGTCCATCATTATTTAACATGTCAAGCTGTGATAATTTTCCGGGAAACATTGTTATATAACAATGACGTAAATTTCACAAACAGACCTTCGATCCAATAGAAAAATGTTCATTAATTTGTACCTTCAACTATTTTACATAAAATGATGATTAGCACGCACCATGTATACTATCAATAGAAGACGTTAGTTAGTTAATATGATTTATTTTTTCAAAATTTTAAAGAATTATAATATTTATAGTGGTAATATGTTTTGTCTAAAGCATATTATTGATATGAAAAGTCTTTAGGTTTTCTAATAACCTTTCTTTCTTTATTATAATCAGTAGACATTCAAATCTTATGCTATTAGTAAGGTACGTACAATCTTAGCAGCACACATAGTGCCATCCTTTTTAATTTTTTATTGAATACAAAAACAATTAACATTCAAAATACTTACATACGGAACTTCATACAATAACAATAGATTCGGTGTATTCATAACTTTAAAATCAGTCGGAAGATTTCGTTCAAAACGAAAACTATACAAACATAAACACACTAATCACGATAAGCCAACATTTCAAGGTGAAATCCGACAGTACTTTGTTGTTATTTAAACAAACTACCCACTCCAGTACTGACCACTGAGGAATTTGGACTTATAGCGTAATATAATTGCTGAAATAGTTTTAGTGCTATTCACTAACTATCAATAATAATTATTTTTTGCGACCATTAAGGTATTCCCATGTCTTACAGTGCGTTAAAAATATGACACTTGTTAATCCAGACTGAAATACCTAAACTATACACATACCAATTCACATTATATTGTTAATAACATCAAGTTTAACAAGTTAAATATTAATTACATAAGATAGTTAAAAAAATCACCAAATCAATTCTTCAAATATAAAATATAAAAATTACATAAAACTTTCATACCCTAATTACCCCCTTAGGGGTCGAATTTCGTAAAATCCCGTCATAGTGAGCACCTACGTCCTAAAAAGTAACCGCATGCAAAATTTTAAACTCCTAGCACTTGTAATAACCAATGTTCATACAAACTTTCATCCCCTTATTTAGCCTCTTCGGGGTGGAACTTTCAAAAATCCTCTCTTAGTGCTCCTCCACACTCCCTAAGGAATCTTCATTACAAATTTCAATTTTTAACGCTCTGTAGTTTCGCTTATACATTGTCTGTAAGTCACTCAGTAATGCAAGAATTTTATATATTTAGATATCTATCTGAATCCCACTTTATAGATCTGTTCGATTTATCTATAAAGTGGGATTCACATAGGCCAATGAAGTCACAGGTCCCAAAACTCAGCACATTCCAGTATCATTATTTGCGTGATGCTTCAATTCAATTCACAATTGTCAGTATTTAGTCATGCATAACAGGTCGAACACTCAAAAAATTACTAAAAGAGGAAATTGAAGACTGAAGTAATGGTGATTATTGCTCAATAAAGAACCAGTAATGATAGCCATTGCTTTAAAACGACACGAAAAAGAAAACCAAATAGTTTTATGCAAAGACTTCTATGAATACTACTAGACACACCAGCTGTTCTGAAATATAATAGGGATGGATAACTTTTTTTTTGTTTGGCCGTCAGGCAGATTGTTGATAAATATTAAGCACGTATTTTTTTATTTTTGGATAATCATTAAATCAGCGACACGTTGAGTGAAAATGTCACATTTTCTACAAAACTGTGACGTAGCGTGACCCCACAAATCCTCAACTTAAATGCTTGTAATCAAAACCATTTCTTGTTAAATTTAAGTAAAAAAAATGCGTATCTAATATTTTTCTGTTATCTGATTGGAGGACTAAATTGATTCTTTTTACCCAGTCATCGTCCCTAATACAAGCGCACATGAGCGCGTTGCCGTCTCGCTTACTCCTTAATAAGCAACGCAACGGTAACGCGCCTTAGATCAGATCAGAACAGCTTGTCTAAAGATATTAGTAGGAGGATTGTTAACATTATACAGATATGAAAAAAATATCTTGAAAATTCAAAATAGTTCCTTCCTAAAAAGCATTCGTTTCCGGCAATAAAATCGTTATCGCCAGTCACATCAATTATTGCCTGTATGAAAAAGTAATAATCACTAATGAGGTCCGGTAACGGTGATGTCCTGTGACCGAAGTTGCCATCGAATACATGTGTCAAATGAAAGTAAACTAACAATTCAGAGCCGCTACAAACAACCCACCATAATTATCTTATTGTTTACGCTATCAGATTTTAAAATAATCTTTTTGAAAATTACTATACCTGCCAAGAATAATAAAGAATATATTCCTTGTTTTATTCTATACCTGCACGCGTAGCATGACAAACTTGAAAACGCTTTGTCTACATCTAATGTCATTTTTCATTTTTCTAGTGAAAAGTGACACTTGGGCAAAGACAAAATGTTCTCGAGTTCGTCGTCATAATACGCGTGCTGATCAATTTTATATTGAATCGGTACCTATCTGCGGACACTAATAATAATGATATTATGACCTTATTTCCTGCTGCTTAATGTTTTTGTAGGTCTACAGATTAGTTTTGTTAAGTGCCATAATATATTTGTTCTTAACTTGTTAAATTTATTTAATCAGGTTATCCACATCACTGGGCATATGCTTACTCAAAAAGTGAAAACCGAAGAAAAGAATAACAATAATGAAAATGGATCAGATGACAAGCGGGCAGATAGAGCTGGTTCCCTCATAGCGGTGGGACGTCCCATACCGCATCCAGCTAATATACAGACACCGCTGGACACCATGACCTTCCTGTCCCGGCACAGTCTAGACATGAAATTCACATACACTTACCCTGACGCGTAAGTACTAATTGCCTGATCCCCAATATAAAAAGGGATTTGATTTATCATTCACATTTTATACCAAAATTTATTATACCATTTTTTTCCCACTTTGCATCTTCAAACACTAAGACGCAAACCAGATAGGAAGACAAAGTCAAGACGGGGTCTGCACGAGGTGCTTTTAGGTTGAATAGAATTTTTATATGATAGGTTTTAAAAATCTCCCAGTGCTAAATAAGCACAACATTAAATAAATAACGATGCAATACAGTTGTATAATGTCCATATATTTAATTAATACTTACTCCTATATATTTAATGAAATCTAATTAAGATTTGAATTAAAAGAAGTATTGACAATCAGATCAAATTAAGCCAGTTAAGTTCCATCTTAACATCTTTTTATATGCTGTTATTAAAAAGGGGCTCAATTCTGCTATTTCTGTTAATGTTTACTATATGGTAACTTTTTTTTTTTAATAGCAGCTTTTTGACAGTTATTGACACTATCGCAAAATATAAAAATAATCTCATCATAGATCCATCAAGACGATTTGCATTTATTATATTAGGCGTAAGGTAAATAATTCAGTGCGGAAAATTTTATTATTGAAACGCCATTGAATTGTCTTTATTTTGTTACAATCTAGGCCCAGAACAGTGAAGTATGCTTGGGAACATTAAAGTTTCAACACTAAATACAATTTAATTAAATTAAAATACAATTTCAAATAATATATTAAGAGACATGACATACAAAATGTGGATTTTACTTTCACTAACTGGTTGTCATTAAAATTTTGTTTCTTAAATTTTTAAATATCCAATATCTTGTTTCCGGGTTATAAGGATTGGATTCCGGGTTACGAGGAATAGCATATCCATAACATCCCTGGTTTTAAAAATTCAAGAATAAGGTCTTGAAAAAATTCGAATTTCTTCTTTTAAAATATTACATCGTTTTGAAATTATAAAGTCGACATTGGCGATGGAACCCTTTTTGAATAAGAACATATTTATACATAGCCCTATAAAAAAATAAATCCTAGTTTTATGTGGATTGATTAATTTGGTTCATTCGAGAGCAAGTTGGTGAGTTGATCTTTAATGGGGTATATGTAATATGCTTTTTATTTTCTATCCAGACTTGATTGATTGATATTTGATTATGGCCGATATTTTCATGGATCCCTAACATATGCTTTATGGAGCCTATAATAGCTGTATGATTTGTATTATAAAACTAATGTAAATAAGCAATAAACACTGATATTCAAATAGGTATGTCTTCTAAAGCACTCTTGGCATATATTATTTCATAGTTCCAACAGATGGCGTTGTGAATGAATTCCCCCATGATGTGCACAACCGTATCAGAGTGTTGTTTCACTGCTAATGTTCTGTCTGTGAGAGCGATGTATCGAAAGTGGCCGTATTATATCAACAAAAATATCACCTTCAAATGTTTTGTAGGTTAAACATGATGTGGTTTCGCGGCTTTATACACAGTGGCGATTGGAAAGTGTCTTTTGTATGTTTATTTAAGTGTTTATTGTGTAAGTGAATTGTGTTAAATAATATATATATGCAATGATTGTGAGGAATGCCTTTCTAAATATCCCAGTGCTTGTACAAATGGAGTATGTGGCGGGCTATTTAAACCCGGCAGATGTAAGTCTTCCTACATGTATTGTTAACAGTAATAAATATTTTTATAACGCAGTCACGGAATACTATTTGTATGTATTGGTAAATAATTAACCAAATTATGCAGGTGAAATAAAATATTTTCAGAAATAACGATAGGTCATTCAAGGTTATCCATGTAGGTAAACATAACCTTAACAAATTGCAGGTCACATTGGGGGTGACCTTTGGAGTTAAATATGATTCTATTACATTTAAATTCTAATAAATTATATGATATTATGTATAAATTTTAAAAAGTTGCGTTTTAAAATGTTACCGTGTAGTTTTGATCACAAATTTTTTGCTTACTTACTTAAACAAAAATGGTAAGTTGTGTATTTGAATGCGAATTGGAACACTGACTGTCTGGAATATCATAAAAAAAATATGTTTATAAATGTTTATTTTCTTGGAATTTTTAGAGTAACTGTAGGTTTATAAATATCTATAATAACCTAGTAGTTAGGATACCTTTAAATAAATAGCGGAAAGAGGTCGTTAGCGCGTTTATTAAGTGGCTAGAATTCGATATACTTTCACCTTCAATAAAATAACATATCGACCTTGTGTCTCTTTGCCCTATATTACCTGTTCCTGTCACATTCTGTGTATGGCAATACACCATTCCTATTTTACCATGTCATGGAAATGGCCAGGAACTCACTCGATTTAATATGCTACCGTAATATTACCTAAGTTTAGATAAATACATTATTACATGTTTTATGTATCTATAATTAAAATACACATTTAATTATTCTATAAGTATTATCTATTTATTTTATTTTTTATATATTTATATTATTTTATTTATTAACAAATTTAAGAGGCTCAGCAGATGACTAAGAATTCATTCAGAGAGAACCACCAGTGATCCGCCGATCACCGGTTAAGAGCCATTGCTTTGTGGGTTGAATTTTTTTTATGTTTAGTCAGCAACACATTAGATAATACAAAACTGTAAATTTATATAATTTTTAAACCTTAATACGTTGAGGGTAGAGGTAAATTCTATTGTGGGATATTGTGGTAACCTAACATGCACCTTGTTTGGAACCCTTTAAACCACACATTCCCTTACCCCATTTTTGCCACTTCCGCAGAAACTTCGATAATATTTTTTTGAAGTTAATATACCTATGTATTGTTCCAGGTTAATGAACACGCTAGGTTTTCAACCCGACGAACTGGCTGGCAAGTCCTTGTACGACTACCACCATGCGGCCGACAGTGCCGGACTGGCTCATCAGTTCAAATCACGTAAGTTCTAATAATAATTATTATTGTATATTACTACATCGGTATTTAAAATATAACAACAGTGGGTCCAAATAATGAAATGTCCAAATGAGTTAAATTATACATTGAAAAGTTAAATCAAGCATTTAAAAGGTACCTAATGGGACCGTGGATCGTAAATCTTCATAACATAAATCCTTGCATTGAATTAGTTTTGTGCGCTCCTAATGTCACTCAGAATATAATTATAAAGATAGCGCCATCTGTTTGAATATACAGTAACTACGCTACCGTGGCCTACATTCTAATGCTTCATATTTTTTATTTAAACGTTTCCGCGTAGAGGGCAGCATACGTCTTTTATGAGAATTGTAGAGTGAACATTGATATAGTGTTTATATTGGTAGTATAATTCATTCATAAATACTAACCATTGTTTGATATTGATTTGATTATAGAAAAACGTAATACGATAATTAAGTACTTGGCAACATTTTGATTTACTTTTACTTATAGTTGGAAAACTATTTTTATTTTCTTGGCTTACCGCCATTCTCAGCTTGTGGAATATAACGAAATTACATTGTTTTGAACTTCATTATGATTATTACGTCGCTTTTACCACATATATTGATCACTTTTAAAATTTATTCCTTTAGAAGTAGCTAATGACACTGGTTTGAAATATGTAAAACAAGCATTACTACCAGGAACTATAATGAAATGTTGACAGTACTTTTTTTACAAGCATTGCCTGTCAATTAATTGAATAAGGTTTGTAGAAACTGCTCAGTATTATGATATATTTAAATTCTCACACTAATTATAGAATTTGTCAACACGCCATTAATAATTTATCTTTTATGTATATATATTTTGTAAACAAATAACAGTTTAAGTTTTAAAACGTTCAACAAACTGTAGACGTTGAGTAAGACGTATTGGTGACTCTAATAAATCGATACGTATTCCAATCCGGTATTGCTTAATTAATAATAGGTTCCTATTTCTCCCATACTATTCGATTCCGAGTAGGCAAAATGGAGAAAAACACCTAATATTGCTAAATTGGCGTTTTTAATTAGGCAAGACAAAGCGTAAGAATATAATTGAATTATAGAATCTCAAACTTTGTCTGTAGTCGTTATATGGCCTTTCATGTGTCATACAGTCTGGCACACACTCGAGCTATCTATATTCTAATCACCTCATCACCTTTATGCCTATTAGGGTCTTTATATAATACCGACCAAAAATGTTACATAACGCTTTTGTGTCAGCCATTTTGTTAACCCTGTAATCCTGTCCTGGGATTCCTGGGTTGATGATAAATAAAATATTAATATTTACATCACTTCTAAAAAAGAAATATTACCAATTATTGACTGAAACAAAGTTCTTATCTCGTAAGCCATAAGTATATCTAAACAAATAAATACTTAGCAGCATCGAAACATTTCTATGTTTATTTAATAATTGACTTCAACAATAGGTCTACCTAACTATTAGGAGTAAGGAATATAAAAATAGTGATAATGTATCATTAATTTGCAACTTTTACTGTAGTAACTCGTACAGTAAATTTTTTGTACTAGCGACAAAACCCTTCAAATTGATTTTGTTTATTTTTAGGCACGATACACGCAGGCCATTGTAGAGTTAACTCTAAACTGCCCATTTGCCCCGATATGCCAGGCACGCGCCGTAACACGCCGCCCTCCAGTTTATAAGGAGGCCAATACTGTGCCTTTATATAATAGCGTTATTTGACTTTAATCGTTGCCTTTGTTTGTTATTATGCTTCATTTTCTGAAATCACCAGACACATATTACAATTCTACTCAGATTTTGAATAGTCTAATTTTCATCTTTTGCATTGTAAATATTTCTTTCAAACAAATATAATTGGTAAATTAAGGTATTAGGGTTTATGTTAATTATTTACACCGATCCAAACTTTATTTAGGGATTGTATTTATGTCCATAGAATGTTTTATGTCCACTTGTCATCGTTTGATATCAGCAGTATTAGGTTATAAAACAGCTACTCGACGTCGAGTGCAGCACCGTCAAGCGCTGTCATAGAAGTTGAATGAAATGGAACCTACCTCAAAAGGGGATGAAAGGTTTTATTTCATTAAATCTATATGCTGTCACAACCACTGTGCTCGATGTCGGGTTCGAGATTGTTTATTGTTATAGAACAGCATGATAGGTATTTGATATTTCCTAAAAATTAACACAAATGTTGGCACGTTGACATAAAAATCCTTATACAAACAATTTTTGTAGTAACTATAGTTAGGTAGGCAAGTACCTAGATACACAAAAGTTGAGCAGACACATTGGCGCTCACCCCGTTCTAAATCACGCTATTTGTTTTATTATTGAAGGTCTGCTCTACCGGCAAATAAGCTTAGTAAGGTAAATAAGTTTTGTTACTTACTAACAGCTTTATTGTTTAGCTACTAAATATTTAATTATAGTCTATGCGGCAAAATCAGTCCAGTAATTTCGGAAAATATTTAATGCAAGCAAAAAAACGATTGAATCTTTCGCCTTTATATTATTAGTTTTGATATACCTGATCGTGTTTGCATTACAAATTAAGCGAGATACATTAAAACAAAAGTATATTTTTTCACCAAAATCAATAATTATAAATGAATTATATTTCGTTTTAAATAGGTGAAACGTTTTAGAGTATCAATATGGAAACCGGTTCAAAATCTGTATACAAAGAGCAGGTTTCATGATATAAAATTCTAATTGAACTCAAGAAAAAACATTATACCGCGCGATACACCTAATTACTTTGGGGGTTTGCGAAACGACTTGATATTACACGAGGTTCGGAGGCTGCGTACAATTTGGGTCCCCTGACAATGAGCACATACAAGTACCTGAACGTTAAGACATCCCTGAAATATAGCTGGTCACTTACCACGGTAGAGTGGAGAGGGTATAATTTACCACGTAATTTGTCCTCATTTTATAGTTTCCAAAGAAATGAGGGTAATTTGGGATATAGCGCTCTGTTTACTACCGAAGCAATAAATATGATGGGTATACAGAATATGTAAGCTCCTTCTATTACACGTATAGAATTCCTTATAAATTAAACAATCTAGAGTCTATGTCGTTGGGTTTAAGACATAATTTCTAGACTAGAGTTTAGATTACTGTTTGGATCGAATGTAGGTACGTTCGAGTCAAGATACACACATACCTGTTTCCATTATAAACCTTTTTTATATTGTCCCGAGATCTGGCAAGACTTTGTGTTGTAAAGTGTAACTTTGCCTCTTACATAACTTTATTTTTTTTACGTTGGGAACAAAGAAACATTAAGTTAAGTATATGCGATCCCGGGATTGAAAATAAGGTCTGGGATTTATATATTCTAGTTATACATAACCTACCTGAAATGATATTAATATTTGATTAATTTTATATTCACAAAAAATACTTTTAAAAACCCATCCACATATGGGCACCGTATACTAGTGAGTATGATAAATATTTTCTATTATAAAATATGTCTGATAGAAAAATTTTAGATTACGCTTCGTTTATTCCGACCTCCAAACTATGTGGTAATATTAAAACACGATGTGTCTGTATTGGTTACGGTTTCAATACTACAGTACTTTACCCCTATATATAATAAACCTATAAACCAAAATATGACCCGTCAAAGAAAAAAAAAAGATAAATGTCAGTGTATGCGTGCGACGACGCAGACGCACAGGCGCGCTACATACAAATCATTTTCGGTGCGTATAGTTATATGAAGTCAACTTATGTACTCATTTGTTTCTCCTCTGTTATTTATTAAACAATTGTTATTTCCACAAGCACCTAATTATTAAAAAAAGATGTATGTACTGACTTGACGCGCAATCGATACAAAAATATTTTTACAACGGATCGATGTGTGACCACGTGTAAACTATTCGACCTTGACATTCCAAAAAAGGACCAATTATACGTTTATATGAGCTTAGTTAAATTTGAATCTTACGTATTACGTAATAGTATTTACGATTGAAGCAGTCCTTTTCATCATATTTATGCTACATATAAAATCATCTCAAATCAGACCTTTCCTTTAGCGGAAGTAATAAAAAAGTAAAGTGGGTATTTTACGAATCATTAGTGTTTAATCACAATAACAGAACATTTAAGGTAAAAACGGCGTGAATCTGTTAAGAATGTAAGGAAAATATGAGTAGCAAATTAACGTTTGTCTGTAAAGGTTTTTAATTTTTTATCATTTCAGGGCACGAATTTCTTAAAAAAGGTAAATAGCTTAAGGTATTATACCTATAATTTATATGAAATTACCTGTTACTAAGAACGCTAGGCCTCAATTCTGCTAAATTTTTCGTCATTATCGCATCTCAAAAGAATCTCAACTACTCGCATTTTCCCATTGTACTCCGATATTATTTGTGCAATTTCTCTCTCATAAATTAATGACGACACATATATCTATCATTTTGTGGCCTAGTAATAAAAACGTGGCATAAAGGGTTTTAGTTGAAGCGCTATTGACTTTCCAAAATTTACGTTAACATTTGCAGAATTGCCCTACTGGTATTTTCACGTTGTCAAAATTTTCCTAAACGCTGCAAATTCCCTATTTCAGTCTTGGCGACATAGCAAATGACACTGATACCGATTTACTTCTACCTATTTGTTGTACTTTCTTCGCATACATTCACGCCGATTTAAGCTAAATTCTAATGACTCGTAATCATTTATAGTACACGTTAAGCTTAAACGATACTGTCATTTAATTGTTTACCCTCAAGCAAATAGTGATTCTGGTTACGGAGGAAATTGATAGACTCATCTTCGTGAACTAGATGTGAGTTCTCAAATAGCTTTTAATAAATTGGGAGTTTGTGGTTACAGTTCATTAAGATCTTGTTGTTGAAGCTTCCGATGCGATCTAATCAAAATGTCGCCGAAGTTGTAAACTGAAATTGTTATGTGTCAAGCCCATGGGGCACTGT